TTTTACCTACATTCCTAATGAGAGATGAGAAATGAAATTAAAGCCTTCTATAAACTCATCAACTTTTCCCTTAGTTGGATTTCCATGTGGGCAATAAGGAACTATTTATGCCAGTAGCATCATCCACAGACAGATTAGTCTCTATGAGTCCTCCAGTATATCGCCAGGTTTGAATTCTGACTGAAATATACAATCAGGTTGCTCAAAAGGTTTCTCTCCTGTGTGAGTCCTCTGGTGTTTCACAAGGTCAGAATTCCCATTGAAACTTTCCCATATTCCACACATGCAAAGGGTTTCTCTCCTGGGTCAATCTTCTGATGATTCAGTAGTCAGGAATTCCGACTGAAACTGTTCCATAATCAGAATATTAAAAGGGTTTTGCTCCTTTGTGAGTCCTCTGATGGCTCACCAGGCTGGAATTCTGACTGAAACTTTTCCCACAAACAGGACATTCAAAGGGTTTCTCTCCTGTGTGAGTCCTCTGGTGTTTCATCAGGTTGGAATTCTGACTGAAACGTTTCCCGCAAACAGAACATTCAAAGGGTTTCTCTCCTGTGTGAGTCCTCTGGTGTTTTACCAGGCTGGAATTGTGACTGAAACTTTTCTCACAATCAGGACATTCAAAGGGTTTCTCTCCTGTATGAGTCCTCTGGTGGTTCACCAGGTAAGAATTCTGACTGAAACTCTTCCCACAAAGAGGACATTCAAAGGGTTTTTCTGTTGTGTGAGTCCTCTGATGGCTCACTACGTGAGAATTTTGCCTGAAACTTTTCCCACAATCAGGACATTCAAACGGTTTCTCTCCTGTATGAGTCCTCCGGTGTTTTACCAGGTAAGAATTCTGACTGAAACTTTTCCCACAAACAGGACATTCAAAGGGTTTTTCTCTTGTGTGAGTCCTCTGATGGCTCACTAGATGAGAATTCTGCCTGAAATTTTTTCCACAAAGAGGACATTCAAAAGGTTTCTCTCCTGTGTGAGTCCTGTGGTGTTTTTCCAGGTGAGAATTCTGACTGAAACATTTCCCACAAACAGGACATTCAAAGGGTTTCTTTCCTATTTGAGTCCTCTGGTGTTTTGCCAGGTAAGAATTATCACTGAAACTTTCCGCACAATCAGGGTACTTAAAGGGTTTCTCTCCTAGATGAGTCCTCTGGTGTTTTAGCAGGTCAGAATTCTGACTGAAACTTTTCCCACAAATAGAACATTCAAAGGGTTTTTCTCCTGTGTGAGTCCTCTGATGTGTTACCAGGTTGGAATTCTGGCTGAAACCTTTCCCACAAACAGGACATTCGAAGGGTTTCTCTCCTGTGTGAGTCCTCTGGTGTTCTGCCAGATGAGAATTCTGACTGAAACTTTTCCTACAAACAGTACATTCAAATGGTTTGTCCCCTGTGTGAGTCCTCTGGTGTATCACCAAGTCATAATTCTGTCTGAAACTTTTTCCACAAAGAGGACATTCAAAGGGTTTTTCTCCTGTGTGAGTACTCTGATGAATCACTAGGAGATAATTCCGACTGAAACTTTTCCCACAAACGGGACATTCAAAAGGTTTCTCTCCTGTGTGAGTCCTCTGATGATTCAGCAGACTGGAATTCTGACTGAAACTTTTCCCACAAAGACGACATTCAAAGGGTTTCTCTCCTGTGTGAGTCCTTTGGTGCTTCACCAGGTCAGAATTCTGACTGAAACTTTTCCCACAAAGAGGACATTCAAAGGGTTTCTCTCCCGTGTGAGTTATCTGATGTCTTACCAGTTCGGAATTGTAACTGAAACTTTTCCCACAATCATGACATTCAAAAGGTTTCTCTCCTGTGTGAGTCCTCAG